ACATACATGTACACCATTATTATTACATATTTTTTTACTGCTCAAGATTGATTCTGTTTTTATGCTTTATTTAAACCAAAGACATTTGCACTCCTAGATTCACCACTCTGCAACCCATTTCCAGTAATTGCACTGCCTGAGAGTTATTTTTAGTTGGTTTCAAGCGGCCGAGTAAAAGCTAGAGAGAGAGACAGAGAAAGAGAGCAAGACAGTGAGAGAGTGCAAAAGAGAGAGACAACGAGTGAAGGAGAGAGAGAGAGAGAGAATGAGAGAGAGACTTGGCATGTTCTGAATAATGTGATGAGCCCGCTAATGGGACCTCAAACTCTACCTAAATGAATCAAGGTCTTTTACAGTCATCAGGTATGTAACAGATAGCATGCGATCACCACCCACTCACCAATCTCTGATTCAGACTGAAAATGGGGTTGAAAAGTTTTTTGCCTGTCATTTAAACGTCAGCATAAGCTGATGTTAACTGGATAAACTGGCCCTTTTTCTTTACATTCCTTTCTGACAGTTTTAGAAGTATGTGCTTGCCTAGTAGGCCCATACTTTGTGGATATATGATACCTTCCCCTAGTTATAAACAACAAGCTATATAACAAAAACATGTATTTTGTGTATGATACTCATTTTCATTTATTTTCTTTCTAAACTTCTTTCAGGTTTTCTTGTTTACTGTATGTCTTTGAAAGACTTACTGCCAGTTTATATTGTTAGTATTTATTTTTTTTGTTTTTTGTTGAAAACTTACATGCACCATTTTTTCAGCTTGGTAGAGCTGATTGTATTCCAGCTATGTTTGTCTGGTTTAATTTCATTCTTTGCATTGTAATGCATGTCAATACTTTACAATAAGGTTAGAAAGGGGGGAGGGAAAGTGGGCCAGCTTCTCATAACCTATCCAACTTCATTTTTTAATGAAGCGAATGGGCCCGAGGCTACGCACAAGTCGTAACGCATTCTGCAAATATTCTCTGGACAAAACATGCATTTATGAAGAAATGGCCTTTACTGGAGGAATGCATAGAGAGTATGCTTAACAAACAATACACCCACTCACAACGGAGGGGGGGCGGGAGAGAGACAGAAAGAGAAAAAGAGAGAGAGAAGATTAGGCAAAAAAGTATGAGTATGACTAACAACTCTATAGAAAATGAACTTGAGCTCAGAGGCATATGTAAGAGAGAATTCTGCCGCTTCTAGGCTAGCGCTCTCACTTGCTGCACACATTAGTGAATGTAAACAGCATTCTTATGTGTGATATGATGATCTGTATCATTGTCGTGGTAAATTACATCACATTATGCCAAAAAATGCTTTTCTGATCATATTGTGGATATTGTCAATTGCATGTTTCATTACAAAACAGCACTGTTAGGCCTGTTTAATTCAATTTAGTGCAATGTAGTGTGTGAAATGTTGAATAAAATCATTGTATTCATAATTTTTCACAGTATTTTTAAATGTGGCATCACTGGTTACATCTGTCCAACTTACTAAACCTTAAAAAAACAAAACATCATGAGGTATACTGTGTACAATGGAAATATCGAGATATTATATTTTTGCCAAATCGTCCATCTCTAGTATAAAACTGACCAGCAAGCCTCAATTCCAGCCTTTGTAGAACATTAGAAGAAGGGTTGAGCTACTTCAGTTAGTACTGCTCGGCTTATTACACAATTCACAAGAAGAAAACAACTGACCTGTATGTGTTCCCTTCTCCACAGTGCAACACGTCTATGCCATACCATCACCAGAAACTTGATGCTAGCTGCTCACTGGAACTACAACTGTGTTGAAGCTATATGTGTTTAGAATGAGTATTACGAGATAAATGATAAGCTAACAAATTCTCACTTGACTGGTATTTGTCACTGCTTGGGCTGCTGCCTATTCACTGCTTCCTCATTGACTGCATCTTACTGGTATAAGCCTTGCTTAAGGGAAGTTAGCATGATCCATGCTAAACATACTATGCGAAGCAGCATTCTTATAGGCGGCGACTGGAATGTTTGCAGCCTACTGTTTCTGAAGTTCATGCACAGGTTACAGATATCTATGAAATGTATTTATTTCCCTTTTTTTGGATGCTGAATGGAAATATAATGCAACCTAATGTAAGTGTAAGTGACTTGTGCTCGGGCTGTATTGAAGACCACAGAATTTCAAAATGGAAGCCCACTTTTATTCTTTTGTTCGATGACTTGGCTTTGCCACTCCCATCCATTCACATACAACCTGTTCTTGGCATGTAGTTTGAAGTTCCCATAGCAACAAGCATGTGTGTATCATTTGGTCGCCATATTGGTCACCGCATCCACCAGCTTCAGGTGAGCTAGAGTGGCATGATTCTCTAGCTGGAACGGGAATTCTCCTTCCCTACTTCTAGCATTGGGTGCCTCATGCAAACGTTTCCATTGTGAGAAAAAAGACATTTGCAGGTGTAGGAACATAGAAGCTAGCATCCTAGCGTGGTAGTAACAGGAAATGAGAGCCACCCATCACAGTTGGCCTAGTTTTTCAGAACCATTTCCGGTTCATGGGACGCCACAGAACACCAGCGCACGTTTCGATGCTAGCTTTTAATAAACAAACTCATAGCCGGCCTTCTATCAGAGTCATGTTTTAATGTTTGCATTATTAAAGCAGGGCCGCATAAAGAGCCATTGTGGTCAGGAGAGCAGACGTTTCCCTTCAAATTTGTTGCATAATGTCCACTCACATAAGATCACTTTTCGGCATATGGAGTCAGTATACTGTACTCCACTTGGCTGGCGTGCTGATCTTTTCCATATGTTCCAAGCCACAAGCTAAACTCCATGACACACTTCTATAAACACACATCACCAAATTATGAGTTAGTTATAGGCGAGATGGAGAAGTTTAAGAGCAAATGCCGCAGGCTGGAGAGGAAGGCAATGCGTTTCATACATCAAGGCTTTTCATCTATTTACCACCCTATATTAGTTCACTTATAGCTCAGTCGCATGATGTTTGCAGCCACTTTCTATTACTGATTGCCTTTATCTAGCATTCCATCTGGCGTATGCAATTTTATTCGTTGCTTTGCTCAGGGAAGTCTAAATGTGACCACTTTATGGCTGTGATTTTGAACAAATGCTCAATGCGGGAATCAGACACCAGATTGAATGTGAACTCTTGGTGATGACCGTTTCTCTCCACTGGCCATAATAAACAGTGGAACCAGTGATTCGCTTAAAATAACAGCCTACTACCTAAGTATTTTTAAATCAAACCCACTGTGGCAAATTACTCCCATCACAGTTTGCCATTCTGCAAAGTCTGTTGCGCTCAGAATGTGGGTGGAAGACATATTCATCAGCGAACAATGCAGCTCAGTAACGGACACTTGATTGACCTTATATAAGAGAACATAATAAAAAACGCAGATTTTTAAGGTTCTTAAATGCTTGAATAAGGTTGGTGCAGTAATGTGAACTGCTCAGACTGCGCTACACAAACATGCCATGCTATAACCTCTTATGTAGCTCCCAATATGATACATATTATACACATTATATAGCATATATTAATTAATGCGCATGTGTGTGACATGGTACAGCAATGAACATGCATTAAGTCTACATATGACAGACATAGAAGATGCACATTTCTCTCAAGTGGGTGTAATTTCAGTGCCATCATTAGGCAGACAGTGTAGAGTCCCTTATCAATTAGGCTCAGTTTAAGAAGTCACTAGTGGTTACAGTTCCAGCACAGCCCCAAAGGGTTTATGAACTCATTCGAGGTTTGATAACAGGTGCAACACCTCTTCGTACGCCAAACACTTGTAACTCCCTTTATCCTCAGTGTCAAACACAGAAACAGGACTGTAAGCGATGCAAGTTGGTCCGTGCGGCGGAACGAGCGCGCAAAGTGCGCGTCCACGGCTTTTCACTCCAGCAGCAAACTCAACCAAAAAAGGCACAAAGGCATCTAAGACTGCAGCTCCATTACTTCCAGCGGCTTAAGCACCCTGCGGCCACACACACTTACAGCACATCTATCTATTGCCGGTTGATACAGTTCTAAGGCATTAAGTCTTCACGGTTGCCGCGTGCGTCCCGGCGTGCACGTGAACTTCCAGTTCACGCTCGAGCCACTATTGGACTGGCCACAGTGGCATTAAGTGTGTATGTAGCATTAGTGCAATGCACGGCCACATGAGCTCATAGTACAGTGCGCGCGCTGCACGAGCAGTCGCGTCTGTACGACTGTAGTGCGCCGAATCCCGTTTAGTCAACGCTACTTTCCTTAAGCTGAGTAGCTTAGCAAATAATTGGCCCAAGACGGTGATCCGCGGCTGATGAATCGCCGGACTCCTCTAAGCACGTGCACCCGCCACTACGTCACCGCGGCACCGTTCGCGGGGGTGCGAGGAGCGAATCTAACGAAATTAACAGCAAAGAAAGCGAGCCCGTCCCACAAACGAGAGCAGCAGCAACAACAAGTACAACAACAGCCAGTGCTTCGCGTGCCCGACACAAACAGCGTTGCGTCAGCGTTTCGCTCTCGCTCGTGCGCTTCGCCGTGCAACTTCCAACAGGGCATTTCCCAGCCTCGTTTCGCCTCTCGCGCCATCAATTAGAAAACACTTCGCGCCGGAGCTCTTTCCAACTAACTAAGTTTAGGCTTTTGTGTTTTGTTTGTTTTTACATGTAATCATTTACTTGTTTAGTTTGGCTCTCGCGCGCACGCGGAGACCAACCAGCTCGACCGCGCAATTAATTAACGTTAATAAGCGTGGGCACGACAACGAGAGAGAGGACGCGCGTTGGAGCGCGTGCGCGCGCGCGCACACACACACAAGAACATACACAGGCGCGCGCTAAAACCTTTTTTTGTTGTTGTTTTGGAAGAGCGAAAAGAAAAACAACAGAGAGGAAAGAAAGTAAGGTGCAGGAGCAGCAGAAGCGTGGATGTAGAGGTTGGGGGGGGGGTCAGGGTTTTGAGGGGGTGATTGTTTTTACCTTGTTGCAGTGGTAATAGTCCAGAGAGGCGAGGCTGGAGTCGGTAGGCAGCGTGCAGGAGCCCACGCTGGAAGGGGGTGCAGGATAAAATCTCACATCCATCGCCCGCTCCGCTACACTGAAGGCATGAACACAGGTTCAGCGTCTGCGAGTCTCTCTCTCTCTCCCTCTCTCTCTCTCTCTCGCTTGCTCGCTCACTCACTCACTCACTCACTCTCTCTCTCTCTCTCTCTCTCTCTCTCTCTCTCTATCGCTCTCTCTCTCTGCTCTCCCTCACTCGCTCTATTGTTAACCCAAACAAAAAGAAACAGAACGATTGAAAGAAAAAGGGGTTGAGTCTCTCTCTCTTTCTCTCTCTCTCTCTCTCTCTCTTTCTCTCTCTCTCTCCTCTCTCTCTCTCTCCAAGCACTCTTTCCTCACATCCGTTCGCGGTTTTTTACTTAAGCGAAAGAAGAAAAAAAAAGAGAAAGCTCGTGCAGTGATGCCTGAGGATATTTTACTAACTATTATTTAAAGCTCGTGCGGACAAAATGCGAGTTGGGGGGGGGAAAGTTCGGTTTCTTTTGCGAAAAGACGAACTTTGGAGAGCGCGCGCGGTTTTAGCTTTTTTTGTTGTTGTTGCTTAAAATTGTCGCGCGCACATGCTGCTAGGCTAACGCAGTTTGTTTGGCTAGGGGCTGGTCTGGTTTTCCAGTGTCTCTCTCTCTGCTTTGTCATGGAGCAGGAGAATGTAAGCACGCGCTCGCTGCTCGCCCTCCCGTTCTCCCTTGCATGTGAAATGCCAGGCGACCTCTGCCGTTGGGAGAGGGAACGAGGGGAGGAAGGAGAGAGGCAGAACGAGAGAAGGGGGAGAGGGAGGGGGGAGGAGAGGAGAGGCATCAAGCCGTTTGACAACTACCTTCTCCCACTATGGAGAGCAGTGGTGAGTATAGGCTAGATAAAGAAATGTCCAGCCAAGACTCGAGACCACTAGGGTGAAGTTAGGGGTCAGTGAGAGGTGAAAAGGGTCCAAACACCTGATTCCCTCAAACTGACTGTTTTACAGCAGTGTTATGAATCATGTAGTTTTCCACCAAACTCTCAGTCACTGCAGAATGGAGAGAGAACAGAACTCAGGCAGTTCAAAGCAGCCCTGCTTTGAGTGGGTTGGGTAGGCTGTGTGAGAAAGAGCAGAAAGGCACAAAGAGGTTTAACAATGCAAGAAAATGTATTCGATGCACATGAAATGAGCAGGACGTTGAAGGAATACTCTAGCATCTTCCAACCCAAGCTCACACGGTTCCTTGTACAGAAAAGCCAGTCAAAGAGTCAAAATGCACTTAAACAGCAATCGCTTCAGCATCTGCCCAGTGGCTTCCATTGTAAGTCAACTTGTTTCCTAAGCACTAAGAAATGTGTTGATATAACTGTCTATGGTCATCGACTCTATGCTACAGATGTAGCATAAAGAGATGATGTTGAAAGATTTTGGAGAGCTTCTTTAACAACAGTAACATTCTACTGAAGGACATTATGGTGACCGTAGCTGCCCCCTTGCCGAGCTCGTCCACCCTGGCGTCATCTGATCTTGTTTATATCATTAGGGCTAGTTTATGCAATATGTCATTTATAGTTTGAATACTTTAGTTTCTGTTTGTTATGTTAGTATTAAGTTTCTCTATTTAGGTTTTGGAAGCTTTGTCTTCTTTTAAGCCACAAATATTATTGCCTACACACTCTCAGAAATAAAGGTATGAAACTGTCACTGGGGCAGTCCCCCTCTTGTCACTAGGGTGGTCCCCTCAGGGGTACATCTCTGTACCTTTAGTCAGGGAACATAATTGTACCATAATCCACTGAAATTATATTTTCTAAGTTGTACTGACTCCACACACCCCGTCTCGCCTCCGGGCCTTTTTATTGTTTCCTTTTAAAACATGAAAATACATATTTGTACTTTTCCACTATTTAAGATACACAATTGCACCTTGAAACCACTGTTGTACCTTTGAGGGAACATTTACATTGTTTGTACCTTGATGAATGAAAATTGAACCTGCACTGACCTGTTAACTGCGAAAACTAACAGTGCACTCTTAAAAAAGATGGTTCTTCAAAGGTTCATAGTAAAGGGAATAGCTTTTTCTAGGACCACTTCATGCTTACACGGTTCTTCAGATTCATGAAGAGAATGTGTTTTTTATGGCTCTATTAATGGTACCATTATAAAATGGTTCTATATAGCACCAGAAAGGGTTCTTCTACTGTTACAAGCTTGATATTATAACTATAGAAAAACCTTTTTTTTCTATAGTCTATAGTCTAAAGAACCATTTAAGCATGAAATGGTTCTATATAGAACCATTCCTTTTACTGAAAGAACCATTGAAGAACCGTCTGTTTCAAGAGTGTAATGAATTGAATCTAAATGAATTTAATCATCAAATGACCTTAGATACAGTAGTCATTGTTAATATGTGGAAAATGTTAAAAAAAATAATTACAGCTAATTTAGCTGAATGCATAATAAATTCATGCCAGGCATCCATGTCACCTCGTCTCAGAGCACAACAAGCTGCACTGCTGTCCACACATCCAGTAAAGCTAAAAGAGCAAAAATGCTGTAGAAATCATATGTGGCTGTGCTTTTAATTATCAGATGATAAGAGAAATGCTCAGTGCAAAAATATACTATAAGACGCTGGTATATCGAGAAGGCACGATATACAGTTTGGTGACTCATCTCAGATTTGTAAGTACAGTGAACTTTATGCAAATCCGACCATGCATCCGATCCGTACTGCCTCTGATGAAATTCATTCAGACAAAAATATCAGCTTTTTTTTTTCCTCCCAATCTCTCCTAATTAAACAAATTTCTAACAGATCTGATCATTTTGATGAAAGATTTTCTTTTTTACAGCTGTTTCAGAGAAGAGTCCCCTCCACACTGTTAGTACAGCGCAGGAGCTGCTCTGAAACTGCTACACTAAAATTATCATAATTAAATAAATTATTTTTTAAAATATAGTGTAGAACATCATGGAAATTTGGAGTGTGGGATTAGCATGCAAGTGAAAAAAATAGGCTTGAGTTTTGATAGAAGCATCCCTGTTCCGTCAGACAGATGACTACAAACACTTCATATATGTTTGTCTTCATTGGTGGTTTTAAGAATACATATTTGAGTACTCATGCAGAAATATCAGCAAGTATTCGAAGTAGAGGTGGACGATATGAACTCAAATTTATATCACAGTATTTTCTACTATTCAGTTATCATATATATATATATATATATATATATATATATATATATATATATATATATATATACATACATATATTGTTATCATATATAACAATATGATATCAGTATCATAAAAAGTGAGAAAATCTGTAATAGTAGCAGTAATAATAACAAAATCATTATTATTATTATTATTATTATTATTATTATTATTATTATTGCAGCATCTAAAAAGCATTCTTCATTGTGTGTATACTAAAACACACAAGTAGCTTCTTCAGTATGGAAGCAGGTTTTAGTGGTTCTCTCCTGCAGCCTCTCCTCATGTTTGTTTTTACCTCTTCACTCATCCTCAATTTCATTTCACACCTTGTATTTGTTGTTTACTGTATCTAACAAACAGCTCACTATTCCAGGCTTGTTAAGTTTATCACAGTAAGTTTACTCCACACCTATTGGATGGGTTTTACAAGCTGATTCGTTCTTCTTCGTCGTGCTTAACAGTCTTCTCGTCCATCAGGCTTGAAACGATTGCCCAGAGTCAGAATGCTGTCCAGGATAAACAAATGTACAGTGCTCTAATTTTTAATAATTATATTTTTATTAAGCAGAGTGACAGATTTGACTATCTATTTGTTTGGTAAAAGTATATCTGTAGACTTTTCTTGCTTCTCCGCTCAGCAGCACAAACACTGTGTGTGCGAATGACATAGAATGTGTCCAAACTTGAACGTCTGAAACAGGGTGTAAAAACACATTTATTAAAATAGTATTATACTGAGAAGGTAGTCCAAACAAAGGTGCTTTGCGCCACTATATCATTTGTACATAAGAGGAAACTGCAAATCTGGCAACCCTGAGTGAAGAGGAAAAATCTGTTTTGTCAAACAGAGTAAAAAAAAACAAAAGAGTTAAAATGGAAAGTCTCGCAAAGTACAAATATGTGCAGACACCATGCAGCAGGACTGGCATGAACATGGCACATGCCCAACAATACATATTAATACAGTACAGCTTAAATGATATTTAAGCTGTTCACGCTCACGTTTAGTTTTCTCAGGGGCGGCGCTGTTCTGCTTTACTGTGTTTGGGTTTATCATGGTATCCGGTTTACAGCAAAATTCATATCATAAGAGAATGTTATACTGGTATTCACTTTTATACTGGTATACCGCCCACCCCAATTTAATCCTTGTAAAATGCTGTTCAGGCCAGCTCTACTTATTTTATTCGAGATCATTTTTCAAAGAACGATAGTAGGCATCTACAAAGCTAGCTAGCCTTATAGCTGTCTGTGTTTAACTAAGGTATTCCAGTGAGACCCCCTCCACCTGCTGTAACCCTGAGTATTCTATTTTATGACGGCTGCAGTTAAATGTAACCTTATTATAATAATTGTGGCGACAAACTCTCTGTGTTGCTAACTTTCATCTACTATAGCTTATCCTAAGGGTCCCTTAAAATAAAAAGGTCCTGGGACCTTTGTATAAATCGATTTTTGCTAGCTAGATAACTGTTGCTGTCTGACCTGTGCCTAAATGGCCTTCCCCTCAGGCAGATTTATTCCTGGTGTTACTATAAGAGTGTCCACAGTTACTTTATGGAAGTGTGTTTGTTCACAAGCCAAATACATAGCTAACTTTAGCAGCACTTTGGTGAGCAAAACACTTTCCAAATAGATTAAAATGCTTTTCAATTCCTTTTCATCTGTGACATTTGTGTGACCAGTGTCAGGAACCATGTAGGTGATTTCAGTCATTAGAACAGTCTATGACACCAGGTGCACCAGCTCAGCAGTGGAGATCACTACAATCACCAGAACATATTAAAGGAATGTTTCAGGAAAAAAATGCAAACCTTTACACAGTTTTTTTCACTTACCCCAGATGTAGTCGATCAGCTGGAACATGTTTGGTGTCAAAATTTTGCTTCATTAGTTTAATACTGGAGCTACGAGGCGAGTATTGCTAACAAACACTAGAAGACAATAGACACCCAAATCCTTTCTATACATACATTCAGTTTCT